CTTCAGCGCCATCCATTTTCGGGGCTGATTGATTCGGCAGGTGAGTTGTTACACACTCCTTAGCGGATTTCGACTTCCATGACCACCGTCCTGCTGTCTGTATCAATCAACACCCTTTGTGGTGTCTCGGTCAGCACGCAGTTTGGCACCGTAGCTCGACTTTCGGTTCATCCCATATCACCAGTTCTGCTTACCAAAAATGGCCCACTTGGAGCTTTCATTGATCCTCGGGGTTCGCTTAAGCAACCCCGAAATCTTACCTATTTAAGGTTTGAGAATAGTTCGAGGGTGTTTCACCCCCAAGGCCTCTAATCATTCGCTTTTCCTGATAAAACTGTTCAACAGCTCCARCTATCCTGAGGGAAACTTCGGAGGGAACCAGCTACTAGACGGTTCRATTAGTCTTTCGCCCCTATACCCAAGTCGGACGAACGATTTGCACGTCAGTATCGCTGCGAGCCTCCACCAGAGTTTCCTCTGGCCTCGCCCTGCTCAGGCATAGTTCACCATCTTTCGGGTCCCAACGGGCATTCTCACACTCCAACCTCTCACAGCAGATCGTGGTTGTCGGACGGTGCACCCGCAGAGGGTTCCCGCCACTCAGGTTTCTTCCGCCTCGTGGGCTAATCACCCTCCGGCTCACATGCACGTTGAACTCCTCGGTCCGTGTTTCAAGACAGGCAGGATAGAGGAATTTTGCCAGCATCCCAAACACGCAGGAACCCGAACGGGGCCGCCGAAAGAGGCGCGTGCTCAAGGTCCTCGACTGCCGTGGCGGCCACCCGTGGGGGGTTTCAATCGCTCCCAACCTCAATGCCGGTCACAGCAGCCCACGCTGGCAGGCACCCCACGTCCAACAAGGGGGGCGACAACACAGTCGCCGTCCACCCCTGCCCAGACGGGAGCGCATGACTTCCCCTCCATCTGCTTCTCGCTCGGCAATTTCAAGCACTCTTTAACTCTCTTTTCAAAGTTCTTTTCATCCTTCCCTCACGGTACTTGTTCGCTATTGGTCCCTCACACATATTTAGCCTTGGATGGGACTTACCACCCAATTGGGGCTGCATTCCCAAGCAACCCGACTCTTGGACAACACCTCGTTGCGCAGCAGGGTCCG